AATTTTTCTTAACTTTACATAGTGGTCTCATACAATATATGCCCTTTTGTGATTGACTAATTTCACTCAGCATAATGTTCTTCAGGTTCATCCACGTTATGAGGTGTTTTTGAAGACTTGTCACTATTCGTCATTGTTGTATAGTATTCCATTTTGTGTATGTACCAAAGTTTTTATCTCTGTTTCTTGACTGGTACATTTAATACATTTACATTCAAAGTAATTATTAATAGGTGTGAATTGATTGCTGTCATTTTGCTGTGTGTTTTTTTGTGACTTTTCTAGTTTCTTTGTTCCACATAAATTTATGTGCTTGAGCTAAACTTAAGTATTTTTAAGCAAGAATAAAAAATAAATTCTCATTAAAAAACAAAGGCTTACAAATAGAAAAAGCAACATTCTTTGATGGTTACTAAGGCGAGACAATCATTTATTAGATAGTTGTTGTTGTTAAGTGCCGTTGAGTCAGTTCTGACTCATAGCAACCCTGTATAGGTTTTCCAAGGAACAGCTGGCGAGTTTGCACTGCTTACCTTGTAGTTCAAAACAACCTTGCAGTCCAGTGCTTAATGCACAGCGCCACACCAGGACTTCTACTAGATAGTAGACAAGTATACATTCTAGTAATGTGACAGGTAATTCACAATATGGGAGAAATCAGAACAATGTGATGAAGGTAAATGAAGACACTGAGAATGAAGGACAACAACGATAAATACACAGTCCTGGTGTAGTGCTGTAGGATAGCACTGGACTACTAACCACAGGTTGGCAGGTCAAACCCACCAGTCACTCCTCAGAAACTCTATACAGGGCTGGTATAAGCCGGAGTTGACTCAACAGCACTTAACAATAATGGTAGATCCTATAACATATACAATTCTACAACAACAGTAATAACAACCAGAACTACCTGAGTCGTTACATAGATTGACATGTATTCTGTATGAGCATAGGAAGGCCTATAGGAGTACATCTGTATTTGCATATTTGTGCTGCACATGTATTTATAAACTTACTAGAGCACATAGGTGGCACACTTATGGAAGCTTCTTCTTGTTGGAAGCTTCACTTTGGCATAATACAGTTCATAAACGTAATGCTCTACATTCTACTTTGGTAAGTAGTATGTGGGATCTTAAAAGCTTGCAAGTCATCATCTAAAATACAACTATTCATTTCTTCTCCACACAAAAGAGTGTGAAAGAAACCTAAAACTTAAAGAAGTAATTAGTCAGAAAGACTAATAGTCAACATAAGGACAGCCTCCTCTAGTCTCAGAATAGAAGAACTAGATGACGACCAGCTACCACTACCATCTGGTCTGATTAGGATCGCAATAGAAGGTCCAGGGCAGAGTGGAAGAAAAATGTAGAACAAAATTCAAAATCATAAAAATTGACCAGCCTTGCTGGTCTGATAAGAGACTTTAGACCTGAGACCGCTATGGAAGTCACCTTTCAGCTGCATAATAAATTTGCCTCAAAAATAATCAATAACACCTGTGCAGAATGTGCTCCTTAGAACAATCAACTAAGGAGACCAAATGGGCAACATTTGCCCTACAGTAAATATGACAAGGTGAAGAGAAGCAGAAACTATGGGCAAATGGAGGCAGGGAACCCAGGGAGGAAGTGAGAAGAGTGCTGTTACATTAAGGGGTTAACATCTAGTGTCATAGAACAATTTGCACATAAATTGTTGAATGGCAAACTAATTTGCTATGTAAAATTTCACCAAAAACACACTAAACTGTTTTTTTAAAAAAATTGAATTGTTGCTAGATGACAATTGGTGTCTTAGCAACAGAAAATGAGCTTAAGAGACAGCAGTTGCTTTCTTAAGTGCCAAACTTCAAATAATGTTGTATATTATTGTCAGTCATTTTAGGTGAAGACTTGAGCATCTATGAATGAACACATTCTAAGATAATTACTCTAGCAGTTAGCCTAATTTATAAGAAAAGTAATTCAGGTTTCTATTATTTTTTTGGTCAAATCATGAATTTTGGATAACATGAAAAAATGTCTGATATATACATACTGTAAAATTCATAAAGCTTATTAAGATGTTACCTTTGTTCTCAAAAGTCTATATGTAATAGGGATATATTATACTGTTTTTGTTGTTAAGTGCCATCGAGTTGGCTCCAACTCATAGAGACCCTGTGTAGGGTTTCTGAAGAGTAGCTGGGGGCTTTGAACCACCAACCTTGGGGTTCACAGTCCAGGGCTTATCCTACATTGCCACACCAGGACTCCTGTATGTTATACTACAAGTAAATATTTAAATATGGAATATAGATTAACATATTTCATGATACATCACACTGCTATTTATAGTTCATTAAATGTTCTCTCAGGTGCATTATATATGATTTATTCTTAGTTGAAGACTACTTTATCCAAGACAGCTCTGACCTAATAAAAGTTATAATACAAGGTTATTGAACTGTTCATGTGTAAATTGTGAATGGATATGTTTGGCTGTGTATATTGCCACCAAAAATAAATACCATTTTTTAAAAAGTGATAATAGGAAACACTAAAGGGCTAATGTGTCAGACTGCAAAGTCGTTTGAACTGCAAGGTCGGTGGTTCAAGCTCACCAGCAGCTCCTTGGAAACCCTATATAGGGTCACTATGGGTTGGAATCGATGGCACTTAACAACAACATGCTTCATCATGTAAAAAGTGCTCTGAAACATACAATTGACTTTGAATCTCATTTCCAGATGAAGAAAATGAGACTCAGAGAGTGATTTAGTGGAAATAACAAAAAACTTGGACTGGAATCTAGGTCTCTTTATTTCACACTCCTTCCTTGTTATGCTAACACATATAGCCTATACTAACAAATTATTACTGGACTAACAATTTAAAATGCATGCTGTACTCTTGCATTGTGGTAAGTGCCATTAAGTCAGTTTCAACTCATAGTGACCCTGTACAGAGTTTCCTAGGAGCAGTTGGTGGGTTGAACTGCCAACCTTGTGGCTCACAGTCCAGTGCTGATGCTACAGTGCCACACCATTACTCATGTATAAGGGGCTTCACAAAATTTCATTTTTCCAGGAACTTTTTGAAGCCCCCTTGTAATATAGCATAAATGTTACATGAAAAAAAAAATTAGCAGTTACTTTTTTTTTTTCAGAAGTGGCAAAATATGGACAAGTGACAATGTGATAACTCTGGCAGCATTTTTTTGCTAGGTAGCTTTTTCAGATTGATAAATTTAATACGATCAAGATAAACTTAGAAGATAGGTTACTCTTTAACAGTAAACTGACTTAAAAAACCACTTTATGAAGATGTTACACATGAGCGAACAGTTTCACATTCCTACTTTAAAGCAAAAAATTAAATATTGTTTTATCGCATAAATTTTGTCTTGACTAAACTTTCCAGTAAGGAGCACTGGTAGCTAGTGGATTATGTGCTGGGCTGCTAACCGCTAGGTCAGTAGTTGAACCCACCAGTAGCTGAGGAAGAAAGATGAGGCTTTCTGCCACCGTAGAGATTTACAGTGTCAGAAACTCTATGCAGGGTCTCTGTAAGTCAGAACTATATGACACACAACCATCTCCACCAAACTTAAAAGCACTGAAAACCAAGCGTCCCCATGTTAGAAATGAAAGAACCAGACACATGTCCTGGAGAAAATGCTAAATGAGAAAAAGTGTAATAAACTGAAAAATACCTCAAGACACCACACATCTCCCACACACTTTTAGATGGAAAGAACACGCGTTAAAAAAACAAAACATTTCAAACAAAGCAGTTGTCTTCCAATGTCTCAAGAACAACGTATCAGATGAACTAAAGTACTTTTCAGCAATTTCTACAATTATTTATAATGCGGTCTCGTCCAGTATGACAAATATAGTTTTGTAAGCAATGCAACTTTTGTGAAAAATGACACTTGTTTTTACTGAGTCACCTTGGACAGAGGCAAAATTCAGAGTTGCTCAAGATAGTCTGACATACATTTTTTTTTTTTTAAACCAGAAGCAAATGTGTAATCCAACATGAAATGTGACCAAGTTGAAACCTCAAAACGCTATGCGTTTCCACTACCATGGAGCTGACTTCTTAGCCTCTAGCAGTGACTGCGCAATTTACTTCTGAGTATTTCCTTTCCTAGAAAACTAGAAAATGGGTAGAGGACCACAGAGAACTGTGATCCGTATAACGTCTACTAGAAATCTTAGAAGGCTTTCTTTCCGGGCGATGTAGACACAGGCATATGGGGTTCTGCCTTTCCCACATCCACACCCCCGAGCCCAAACCCAGTTCGTCACCCATTTCAAGACCAATTCAGTCTCCTTACAGAAAAGTAGAGTGTTTTTGGTTTGGTTTTAAGAAGCCCAGCGCTCCTTTGTCCCCCAAAATGGCTGGTGGAAGGTTTCGAGGCCTCCGCGGGTTATGGGAGGCTAGAGATGAAGCAACTGAGCTCTTCTCGTCCATTCACCAATCTACCGACTACATTCCAGCCCTTGAACTAGCAAGCGCTCGGGGTTCCCTGGTACCGCGAAACGCGCATTGGCTCGGCTGTGGTCCCGAGAAGGTACGGAACCCCGGGCAGCGCGCGGGTACAGAGATCGGTGAAAGCCACAGTGAGGATCAGGGGTTCCAGTAAGCACTGCTGGGGGGGTGGGGGTGGGGTGGAGGGTGGCAGCCACACCCGGAAATCGGTCTGGTAGGGGGTGGGGAGAGACTGGTGAAGGCTGAGGCTTCCGGTGGCGCAAAGGGTGTCGGGAGCTGCTCCCAGCAAACCTTCTTCTCAGGCCTTTGGAGGGGCCGCGATTGCTGCGGCTCGGGCTTCTAAGATCTGCGTTCGGGATAAACGGCCACGGCGGTAGCCGCTGCGGCTTCCTCAGTGCCTGACTCTGTCTCTGTTTGCCCCCAGACGGCCCCCAGAGTTCCAGCAGCGGCCGACATGTTGTGAGGCGTCGGCTCGGGGATCTGAAGGATGGTTTGGCTGAGGCAGCGGCAACGGCTGCTGGCGGGGGCGGCGGCGACTCAGGCTCTGTAGAGCCGAGCCCGCTGGTGTCTGTCCGGTACTGCAGCGAGGCTAGTGCCCCTGGATCTTGACTCTGCACCAACGCTGTTGGGGACTAGTTAGGCGACAGCTCCCGCCCCTCTGAGGAGAGACGCTCAAATTTCCGGACCTCGCCGGGCTTTCCCTGCTTCGGCCAGAGCAGTGTTGTCCCCGGAACACTCAGCCCTCCGACTTTCCGCCCCGCTTCGCCCTGAATCTCAAACATTCGGGTGTTCCCCGCCGGGTGGAGCCAGTTCCTCCTCCCCACCCCCTTCATTTTCTGCACCCCTCGTTCCCGAGCGCCTCTCAGGATCACCCTCCGAGGGCGGCCCTTTGGGACATCTCCGTGGGGTAGTGGACCAGAGCTGGGGAGTTTTTTAAAAGTCGGGCGCGCACACGAGGAATGTACGATGGCTTCCTCCTCTGGCAACGATGATGATCTCACTATACCCAGAGCTGCTATCAATAAGATGATCAAAGAGACTCTGCCCAACGTCCGAGTGGCCAACGATGCCCGGGAGCTGGTGGTGAACTGCTGCACTGAATTCATTCACCTAATATCTTCTGAAGCCAATGAGATTTGCAACAAATCGGAAAAGAAAACCATCTCACCAGAACATGTCATACAAGGTAAGTTGTATTGTGAGATTTGGTATAAAAGATGGGCCCGGGGATCCGTGTGTGTCAAAACCTCCATTCCTCTTCATTGGTAAATACAGTTAAATGGAAAAGCCGTTTCGGCAATCAGGCAGCGGGGAGCCTTAGGAAAAGCCCAATGTGCATTCTTGGACTTTTCATCCAGCTAACAAGTAAGGATTGCGAACATTTAATTTAGGTCACCCCGCAGCCCCCCAAAGAGAAAATATTAGCAGTGGTCGCACTGTAGAGCCGAGCAACAAGAATTGCCTGCCCAAAGTGGACCCTAGGTAATGAATGACAACTGAGAAAGGAACCCACTTCTCCCTTGGAAAATTGAAATTGAGACGCAGGAACTTCCATCCGGAGTGGAGACAGAGCACCCTTTCCCTAACCACCTCACCTACTCAGGAAAAGATTCATATTCTGAACACATACATGAATTAAGAAAAAAGTTAACAGGAATGTGTTCAGCATGGTAACGGTTATTGGCGTTGAGTAAAGGGCACGTGTTTTTTGCTTTAAAATGGTTTGATGGTCAGACGTTTTATTAAGTTCCCAAAAGCACTTCAGTTCTATTATGTAAGAAAAGAATGAATGTCTTTTAGTCTCACCCAAATTTAGCTCTATGGAGATAAATTTGAATGAGACTAAAAGCTTGGATTGAAAGGTTTGTGAGATTTTTTTCTTTCCCTGTATGGTACATTTCTCTTTCATTTCCTGCTGCCATTCCCATTTAGATTGTATACATATAATCTTTTATTGGACAACACTTGTAAAAAAGTTTTTTTCCTCGCAGTTTGGAGAGGATTTTGTGTAGTACAGTAATAGGATTTGGGGGAGCATTTTCTAGTGGTTTTGGGGAAGAGGAGACATGAATACTAGTTATAATGTTTTGGGAAACACCTATGCAAAAAGTTGCATTCAATTTGAGGTGATAATTTACTTTAAAATTCTAACAGACTCTTGATTGCTTTTGAAGTCCAGAGTTAAAAAAGGCCTGGTTATTTTAACCATTCTGATAGGAAGAATCATTTCAGTTTTATAAAATTAACATTTTAAAAGGTGACTTTCCTTTTCTATATAAGAAGAAAACATGTCTGTGCTCATACTCAACCATATCCCATACTTTACTGTCAATATTGACAAAAGGATTAAAGCGATTGGTTTTGATCCTCAATGATCTGCTGAAGGTAAATTTAAAACATATGTTGCCATTTCAGTACATTAAAAACTCTTAAAAACTAGTATTTTAAATTTTTTCTGCTTTATGAGGGTGTTGGATAATCTAGCCAGTAAAATGAGAACCAAGCTACCTATTTTTCTGTTTTCACTTTTACAATGCATGTGTGATTGCTATGACTTTCACTGAAGAATCCCACACAGCTAGCTAGCTACAAGATCCTTACACAACTCACAGCAAACAAAAGGGATCTTTTATCAACATCACCTTTCTAATGAAAATTGCAAAAGATTTCCACAGGCTCTGCCTAAACATTTGTTTACATCACAGAAATGGAGATCATTCCAAAAATCTAATAACACATTACAGTCTGTCTTCTTGGGACTTTATTCTGTTCTTAGATATATTTAGATTTCTGATTGACATGATGGAATAAAAGTACAGCTGTAGCAATCAGTATGCTAAATAGTGCAATTTTGGAATATTCTAAATTCAGTGTAATATATGAGTCAGAAAGTTAGTGAAAGCATTTTTCGTTGTGTGCTAAGGATTTTATTAGTTTAAAGATATGTATTGACCTGGTGCGTGTTTGTGTGCTGTGGAGTCATTTCTGACTCATAGTGACCCTGTACAGGGTTTCTGAGGCTATAAATCTTTATACCGAGCAGAAAGTCTCATCTTTGTCCCACAGAAAGGCTGGTAATTTCAAACTGCTGACCTGAGATTAGCAGCCCAACTTGCAATCACCAGGCTACCAGAGCTCCTGTGGACTTGGTGGTGGTGGTTGTTGTTGTTAAGTACCTTCGAGTCAATTTCAACCCATAGCGACCCTGTGTAGAGTTTCCTAGGAGCTGCTGGTGAGCTTGAACTGCCAACCTTGCAGTTCAAACGGCTTTACAGTTTGGCGGCTTTACAGTCTGGCGCATTAGTCTTGTAAATTGAACTTTTTTTTTTTTCTTGTAGCATTGTTATTGTTGAGTGAATAAAGGCCCACATTTTTGCCTAAGAGTTCTCCCTAGCTTGAGGATTAGATTTTACACATTTATAATTTAATAATATTAACCTCATGTTGCCTAATTATTTTAAAGAATTTTTGTTTGGGGTAGTTAAAATTTTTTTTCTTTTTAATTTAAGGAAATGATTAAGGTGTATATTTCAGGTGTCTTTTAAGGTATTTTTACAGACTAACTGAAAAACTGGGTTGGGAAATGATGGTGGTTAAGATATTTTTTACTCTTTTTTGTTACCATTGATTATTTAGACATGTAGGATAACAGTCAAGTGGTATGATTCTCTCATGTTGAAGTTGGGATTTTTAGTAATAAGTTTAATGAACTAGACTTTGCTTCAGGACTTTTCACTTATTTGTTTTACCTTGTCAAAGCAAAGTAAGCAGTTTTCTAAAATGGAAGTTGAAGTTTTGGTATTACCAGTTAACTTGTGTAATAATCATATTTTAGTTAATTGATTTTTTTCTTAATTTACTTATTTTGAGTTTAAGAAAGTAGGGTTTAGATATATGAATACAGGGAAATCTAAGCTTTAAGAGGTGTTCCTTTCTCTCTCTGCTGTTTTCTGTGAACACATATTCCTGTATGAGTTCTAACATGTCTCTTGCATTATGGGGCAAATTAACATAGAGAATCAAGAGTTGCAGGTTGTGCACTGGAAATTCTTTGGCCTTGGGCAAATCTGTTAACTAAGGTTTCTCCATTTCTTTAATAAATAATGCTTAATGGTTTCAGGTGAAACTTGAGTTTTTTTGTTGATTTTTGGAGTATTTCAGTTTATTTATTTATTTTGCTTTAACAGCCATAAATTTATTCTCTCATAGTTGAGGAGGCTGAAACCCAAATTCAGAGTGCTGACTCAAGGAGAACCTTTCTCTTTGTCAGTTCTGGGGAAAGGACCTGGTTTCCTTTCAGCATCTCTAGACCCAGTATTCCTTAGAGATCTTCATACATCTTGGCTTCAATCTTCCCCTGGATCTGTGAGCTCCACAGTGCCGAGACCTCAGGTCCAAAGGACACACTCCATTCCTGGCTCTTCGATCTTGGTGGTAGTTAAGTCCCTCTGAGTTTAGCTCACTTTTTTTTTTTTTTTTTTTTTTAATGGGCTGAGTTAAAGTTTACAGGGCAGATCATCAGTTTCACATTCAACAAATCATACACCTTGTTTCAGTACAATGATTATAATCCCCTCCATGTACCATCAGTTAACAGTATTTCTCTCTGTTCACTTTAGCTATTTTTAAAACAACAAAAACAAAAAACACTCAGTCATATATAATAATTTACATCTCCAAAGGACACATTCTACAAGTCTGCCTCCTGGCCACCAGTTCTCAGTCCCTCTCTTCCCATGAATCTAGAGTCCTCAGTCGCTCCCCCTCTCCATGTCCCCACCTGTGCCTCCACCTCTGGCTTGGCTGCTTCTCTGGATAAGGTCCTGCATTCTGCTTGTTCTCTTCTCCCTTGATGGTCCTAGGTTGTCCTCTGTTTCTGGACTGTAAGATTAACCATTCCCCCCGGGGTTTTTTAAAGTTTTTGTGAGGTTTGCATGGGAGAACATCAGCTTTACACTCATCCTATCGTATTTCGTTTCATTGCAATGATTACAGTCCCCCTCCATGAATCATCAAATAACCAAAGGGTACACCACACAGGCCTTCTCCCTCCCTGAGTACTGGTGTCCCCAGCCGTTCCATCTGTCCACATCATCGTCTCTGTCTCCATCCCTGGCGTCACTGTCTCTCTGGGTAGGGTCTTCTCACTTGATGGTCCCAGGAACCTCCGCTCCTGGGCTGCAAAATCAATCACTCCCCTCCTTTTGTCAAAAAACATCAACCTCCACATTTCCAACCCTCACACTCAATCCTGGTGGCAATTATTCACTATTGTACCATAAGAGTCTTATCCCCATTTCCTTTCGCCAACCTGGTCCCAACGGATTGGAAATCATTCATTGGTGATTCTACCTTCCCCCGCCTCATCTGGAACTAGACTCCCTTTTGAAAGCTTATAAGCCAGTCACTTCTTGCCTTTATGTTGTTGTTGTTAAGTACCATGGAGTCGGTTCCCACTCATAATGACTCTGCACAGGGTTTCTGAAGCTGTAAATCTTTACGGGAGGAGAACACCTCGTCTTTCTCTGCTGGTAGTTTCGAACTGCTGACCTTGTTGTTAGCAGCCCTTCTTGTAACCACTACACTACCAGAGCACCTTTCTTGCCTTTATGTTGTTGTTGTTATGTGCCGTGGAGTCGGTTCCGACTCATAGCAGCCCTGTACAGGGTTTCCAAGGCTGTATATCTTTACGGGAGCAGAAAGACGCATCCTTCTCCCATGGAACAGCTGGTAGTTTCGAACTGCTGACCTTAAGGTTCCCAGCCCGATTCCTAACCACTATGCTACCAGAAGTCCTTTCTTGCCTTTATAGACACTCCCATTTTGGGTAGCCAGTGTCTAAGTTGCCAATCCCTGTCAACGCTGTGTACCAAGGGGGTGGGAGTGATCCTTGCTGTAAAGATTTGTTCCCTTTTTTGAGCTATCACATCCATAAGTATAGGTAAAGTTCATCAAATTGTAGCAGGTTACTCTTTTTTTTTTTTAATCCCTCTTCTTTCTTCTAGTCAAGTTCTGATCATCCCCTGTTTTTGTTACAAAACATCTACCTTTACAGTTGTGACAGTAGCAATTAGTCATGACAGCTATTCAGTTGGGACTCTTTCTCCCCTTACCCCCCCAACACTTAAACTAAACTCCCTCTTGAAACCTTGTAAGGCAGTCACTTCGTGCCTTTTTTCGCCCCTC